TTCTCCTTCTCCTTCTCCTTCTCCTTCTCCTTCTCCTTCTCCTTCTCCTTCTCCTTCTCCTTCTCCTTCTCCTTCTCCTTCTCCTTCTCCTTCTCCTTCTCCTTCTCCTTCTTCTTCTTCTTCTTCTTCTTCTTCTGTATTACATATTCCTTAGTTTCCTTCTAATCAAAAAGATATGTGTTTGGGAAAATTATTACAACAATAATAAATTAAAACACAAGCTACCAAATGCTATAGATTACATAGTATGATCCAAATTTTCCTGGGAAAAAAAAAAATGCTATGAAATTCAGGCATATCCAGAAGCTCAGAGGGTTCTGTTAAGCACACTTCTCTGATGAGGGGGAGGGGGAATGTGTATGCTCATAACAAAGCCACTTTGAATAAACTACTTCAAAACGTCCTGCTTGGTTTTTTTTAAGGGTCAAGCGCACTGTGGGTCCAGGCTGACTGGAACCATGTCAGGGAGTTTCTGGCGACCACAGGAGCTGGAAATGAGTGTCCATTTGGGATGCATTAATGATGTTTCATGATTATTATTATTTTTTTTTTTATTCTCATCCGAGGACATTTTTTTTGCATTTATCTTCAGATAGAGTGGAAGGGAGAGAGGGAGGAAGAGAGAGAGAGAAACATCAATGTGAGAGAGACACATCGAGTGGTTGCCACCCACACAACCCCAAACAGGGCCGGGGACAAACTGCAACTGAGGTATGTGCCCTCAGCAGAAACAGAACCCGGGCCTCTCTGGTCTGCAGGCCGACGCTCTAACCGCTGAGCCGAACCGCCAGGGCTGATGTTTTGTGATTCTTTACTTATGGCCTTGGGTGGCTATTCTGAGGGAAAATGACTAGTCTAGTTTGTGATTTATATCACATGACTATTCAGCACAATGTAGGAGAATGATGAGCCAACCATGTTTTTATTATACCAAAAGGAAATATTTTTCAAATTATACCAGCACACTTGTGGTTTCTAACATTCCTGCTCCACCCTCGTTCATTTCTAAGAAAATTTATGCTCTTTCTGAGCATAAATGATTTAGGCCAAAATAGCATTTAGAGTCATCCCTTGTTTATCGTGGTCAATCCATTCCAGACTCTAGCGGTTGCACCTGACGTTGGAGGAGTCTTGGAGTGCCCGAATCCATAGGCCTACAGTCCATACATACAGTAATTTTAATTTTAATTGTAATAAAGGGATATATAATTGACTCAGACAACCGAGGGCGTGCTGTATCATTTTCACTCGATCAACTTTTTAATGAATATATTTGAAAAAAAACCACGATACAGTAAAACCGCCAAAGTCGAAGTGTGAAGTGGTGAGGGACAACTATATTCAGTAAAATCTACAAACACGAAACCATGTAGGCTTAAAAGGGACAGTTCTTGGCAAAGAAGTAAGGAACTTACCACAACCCAGGGCATGGGGAGAGTCTCAAAGTGAAAAGACCATCACCCTTCAAACACAGAAAAAATATTCTAGAAAACCTAGCTGAGGGTTAAAATTCCACCCTTCACGCCTAATAAGATTCATCAATTATTTCATCAACATATAGTTGTAGAGCCATTTGAAAACAGCTGCATCAACATGCTCTGCTTGGTCTCCTGCGGTTCAGGCGAGGGCACTGCAGGGGTCCAGCCCAGGTGAGACATAAGAGGGAGCCCTTGGCAAATGAGCAGCTGGAAATGAACTTCTATTTGAGTGGGAGGCACTGCACTAGGCACAGAAATGAAAACTTGTTCTTGTTCTTCAAAAGCGCACAAGATATTGAGACCAGCAGAGAAGGACTTTAAGAAAATTGTAATATGTTATTATATACATAACTTCATACGAGGCAAAATTGAATACATTGGATAACAAAGCTATGGGAAGTTATGGGAGGTCTAAATAAGAGCTATTAATTGTAATTCAGGAGACTCAGTGTAGCATCTCAATAGGACGGTCCTGGACCCTCCAGTGCTGACTCAGGACCTGCTGCCTTTCCGCAGCACACAGAGCATCTCCTACTGCATGTTGGCAACAACATCAGCAAAACAGTGGATAGAAATAGACAAAGGAATAAAAACAATAACAATGACAGCTAACATACGTTGAGCTTTTAGGGGAGAAGTGTTATATATAATTAAGTTTATTGAAATATGTCATTAAAGGTGTAATATAAAATTACACATCTGATTTGGAGAATGAGTGATATGGCCCAATTTTGCTGAAACTCAAGGTAAGGAGGGACACTGTTCAACGGACAACACTGAGCCCCTCACAGTGTTCTTCCCACAGAGAGTGGAAGGAAGCATGTCAATGAACTGGCCACTTAGCTTCCTGATAAGCTAGAAATATCTCCCTAAGAAATAATGATGAGGTGTTTTTGTGGATACAAACTGATTTTCCCAGATTTCTATAAATTAACTTGTCTTTTCAGAATCTCAGGAGAAAAATAAACACGCAACTATTTTTAAAAAGCTACTTGTTGCCCTGGCTGGTTTGACTCAGCGATTAGAAGCTTCAGCCTGCAGACCAGAGAGGCCCGGGTTCATTCCTGCTAAGGGCACGCACCTTGGTTGCAGTTTGTCCCCAGCCCAGTTGGGGTTGTATGGGTGGCAACCACTCAATGTGTCTCTCTCACATTGACGTTTCTCTGTCTCTCTCTTCCCCTCCTCTCTCCCTCCTGCTCTGTCCGAAGATAAATGCAAAAATGTCCTTGTTAAACTGGTTCAGTGAGTACACACACAGTGATGTAATAATTTCTGCTTTCTAAGAAAAAAGCATTTTTTTCTTTATCATTAAGAAATAGTTCCTCGTTCTTTCTACTGGCATAAAGAGGCACAGAATTCTGTGCATGCTTTTGAAATAGGAAATGTTTGCTACTATCCTACTGCTACAAATGACAGATAAGATGGGAAATTAGTTTGCAGTTCTTGAACTGTCTCTTTTCTTCAAATCTGTTTTCCAGCGCAAAGTTAGAAGTCAGTTCATATGGCTGAAAGCCTTCATGTATACAAAGCCTACTTGGGATTTCTTTAAATTATTTTCTACTTGATGAGCTGTTAAAGCGATTGCTTCCTTGTCTCCCTTCATTTCATAGCAAGTTGATATCAGGTTTTGAACAAAGAGGTTACTGTGGATTGGCTTGCGCACCCTTTATTCTCCCCTTCTTCTAGCTCCCTGCTGAGGCTTGATTTAAAGCTGCCTCTCCTGGACTGCTAAGCAACTACTGTTCCAGATGGAAATTAAGCTTATCTATTAGATGCACTTGAGAAAGATTTGGAAGGATGGTGTGGATTGGAACCCACCTTCCTGGCCCTGTTTCTATCGTTTTGGCAGTTTAGGCCTCAGGAATGGCAACGGCAGCTGGTGCTTTCTAATTCCTAAGCCACAGTTAGAGCTGTAGGTTCCTGAACTAAGCAATTCCAGGCGCCACCTCTCGACTCCCGCATCTTTATTCTTCTAATGCTTTTTAAGTGCTTAATTCCCGATATGAAAGATCTTTCTGTGAAAAATACCTAGGAAGATTTCTGTCTTGCCTTAAACCTTGACTTAAATAATTATATTCTTCATTCCCCCACCTGAAGATGTCATATATGAACCAGAACAACATTAATACCTAACATTTCTATAATGCTTTGTAGCTTACAAAGTACATGCACATAAACTGTCTACATTAATCCTGACCACAGCTGAGAGGTGGCAGGACAGGGGGCTGCTGTCCCAATTGTACAGATGAGAAGGCCGAGTCTCAGAAGAGTTAGGTGACTTAGCAAGGCATTTACTTAGTAACAAATGGAGACAGAACTCAACCCCACATTTTATGACTTTTTTTTGTTAATTTTTAAATTACAGTTGATGTACAACATTATATTAGTTTCAGGTGCGCACCCCCCCCCCCCCCCAGTGATTATGACTCTTAATTATTTCCTTTAACACAAGAAAGCCTCCCAAGGGCAAACAAATAGCACATAAATGCTAGCAACAATTAAACCTTTTATTTCTAATTGAAAAAAAAATTAAAAAGAACTCATTATTACACTCTAGAACAATTAAATTAGACTAAAACACCTAAGGACGAAATAGAAAATATGGGCTACTTCATAGAGAGTGTGGCTTTGGATCCAGGGGAGCCTATACCTCAGCTTCACAGGATCCCCCCTGTGAAGACTCTTTGCTGTTATTACAGATACATGAGAGGTTCAGTCCCATTTTCCAGCTCTGACCATGACTTCTTTCTACACAACCATCTGGGCCTAATCAAGGGTGGCTAGAAGACCCCGGGAGGCCAAGATTCATTTCTCCATTTCTCCCTAATGGCAATTTCACCTAAGATCCAGCCCCTCTCCAATGAGGGCTCCCCAGGAAGAAAGATTCCCCTTTCCCCTACTTGTTACATAGATATACTTTAGTAAAACATTTGTTTTAATGCTCAAGAAATCAAGAAGAAAAATATTAAATGGGCAGAGCTTGTTTTAGACCACTTCAAAAGTGGTCAAATTCTTTCTCTCCATACCCATCACGCCTCCAGTTCACAGCAGTAAGTCTAACCACAGGGTGAAGGCTTAACAACTCCAAGAAGGCTTAACAACTCTGACCATATGGTCCCCACTCTCTGAGAGCAACATCAGTCCGAAGACAATGTTCCAGTGCTCACAACACTGGAATCCCACAATTCCCTGCCTTTGCGTCTTCTTCTGTTTGCTTCCTTTAGTTCATATGACTCAAATCAGAAAGGGTAGGAAAACCGTTACTCTATAGCATCCTACTTCTTCCCTTGCATCAAAACATTATGTGATTCCCACACAAAACATTATGTGATTCCTTGCATCAAAACATTATGTGATTCATACACAAAAGAATGACAACTATTAAAAAAGCATTTAAAATTAAGAAGAGAAGAAAGAATATGAAAAGTACATCTGATTAGTTGGGCAAATTCAATTACATCTTTCCTATAAAATCAAGACATATAAGAAACTGTATTGAAAGGCAAAAAACTCTATACTAACCTGGGGGAAGAGAGAATAAGTTGAATTGTCAATGGTGAATGAGTATAAAAACTCTCCATCATACCACATGCTCTTCCCCATGGGGGAATTCATTTTAGTCATAGCAAAGAGATGGGCGGGGTCACAGCAGTCTTCCATCTGTTTCCTAGGAGGAAAAATAGAGAGAGAAAAGAACAGCAGGTTAAGTGAGCAGCAGACTCATTCACTCGTCATCCCCGCAGAGATGTGCAGCCTTACCTCAGTGCCAACTCACAAAAGCATCTGTGTCTCCAGGGTGATTAGACTACTATTAATTCACTCTTCCAGCCACCAGAATGCATGACTAGAATTTTTAATAATAAAAAGAAGCTTAAGAAAAATACATCAGCTCTCAGATGCAGGTGAAACCTGTTCAAAGGTAAAACTAATCATAACTGCAGATATATTGATTGATTTAAACATCCAGTTCTAGGAGGTGGCTAGCTGTAGAGACTGTACAGATATTCAACTGCAGCAGAAATACATCTTTACAGTGATTTAACAATCAGGCAGTCAAGTTCAGTGATGAGAGACTTTACATGAGCCATATGGGAAACCTTTCTATATAGAAACAAAATGAGTGATGTGATTTCAGACACTAGCAAAGCAACCTGCCTTATAACTGGTAAATCTCATGGGGCTGTCAGTTCTCATTGTGTTTGAACTCTCAGTAGTGTTCGACACAGCTGAGCACTGTAACCTTTGTGAAGGTCTCCTCTTCCTTTAGTGCCTGGAACACCAGGGTCTCCTGAGTCACCTTACCCTTCTGTGCAGGCTACTCTTCTACTTGGCCCTCCAATTCTTAGAAACATACAATTTACCAAGACTAAACCAGGAAGAAATGGAAAATCAAAATAGACCAGTTACTAGTAAGAAGATTAAATCAATAATCAAAAACCTCCCAACAAAGAAAACCCCAGAAACAGATGGCTTCCCTGGTGAATTTACCAAACATTTAACTATGAGTAAACACTAATCCTTCTCATACTCTTCCCAAAAAAATCAGAAAGCAGGGAACACCCCCAAACTCATATTATGAAGTCAATATTATCCTGATGCCAAAACCAGAAGAAGACACTACTAAAAAAGAAAAGTACAGGACTTTTACAGATGCCCTGATAAATACAGATGTGAAAACTCTCAATAAAACACTATCAAACCAAATTCAGGAGCACATTTAAAGGATCATTTGCCATGGTCAAGTGGGAGTTTTCCCTGGGATGCAAGGATGGTTCAACATTTGCACATCAATCAAAGTAATACACATTGATTAGAATGAAAGAAAAGAACATATGATCATCTTATCTTAACAGACACAGAAAAAGAAATTCCACTTCTGGGTATATATTTTTAAAAACCCAAAACCTTAATTTTATAGAATATATGCACCCCTATGTTCATTGCAGCATTATTTATAATAACCAAGATACAGAAGCAACCCAAGTGCCCATCAATAGACGACCGGATAAAAGAGCTGTGGTACATACATACAATGGAATATTATTCAACCATAAAAAAAGAATGAAATCTTACCATTTACAATAGCATAGACCAACTGCAGAGGATATTATGCTGAGTGAAATAAATCAGGCAACAGAAAAACAAATACCATATGATTTCACTTACATGTGGAATCTAAATAACAATATAAACAAACAAATAAAACTGAAATAGACTCATATACAGAGAACAGACTAATAGTTGCCACAGAGGAGGAGTATTGGGGGACTGGGTGAAAGAGGTGAAGGGATTGAAAAGTACAAATTGGTAGTTACAAAACAGTCCTGGGGATGTAAAGTGTAGCATAAGAAATATAGTCAATAATATTGTAACAACTATGTATGGTGCCAGGTGGGTACTAGAAATATCAGGGAGAATACTTTGTAAAGTATATGATTATGTAACCACTGTGCAGTAGACCTGAAACTAATACAAAATAATATTAAATGTAAATAGTTCATTTTTAAACAAAAATACAAAAGATAACACTTGACTTAAATAAGCCTTGAAAAGTTTAAAGGGCTATAGAAATGTGAAATGGTACTCACTATCATTTAAGGAAAAGGGGAGGTTGATAGATTCTTTCACCACATATTTCTTCCTATCTCTTTAGAACAACACTTCCTGGAAAATAGATGCCCCTGAAGTTTTTAAATTATCTCTCAAATTTAAACTAGCAGTGTTGGCAGACCATAGCCTGCTGTCTGATTTTGTAAATAAAGTTTTATTGGAACAACAACAAAAAACTCCATCATGCTGTATACCTTAAACTTATACAGTGATGTATATAAATTATTTCTCAATAAAACTAAAAAAAAATATCCAAAACATTCCCTGGGTCTCAAGTGCCTACTGTGAATCCTGACACCCAGAGCCCTCCACGACCTAGTCCATTCTCTTTATCGTAAGATAAATAACTTAACCAAGGCCACCTGGTGGTATAGCTCAGATTTAAACCCTGATCTAACTCCAGAGACCATGGTCTTAGCCAATAAATTAAATGGCCCTATTACTCTATGCCATTTGTACTTTGTCTATTTCCATGCCGGTCTCTCTCGTAGGCTGTCTCTGATGGCAGGAACTCTCTGGTTCATCACCTAGAATACGGTTTATATGAAAGTGTTCCTATTAAGGGTAGTCTAGGTAATTTGGACAAACTATCCCATCAAAAACAATTAGAAAAGTTGGACAAAACAAAATCACTTTGAGAGCATCTGAGGACTAACAAGAAGTAAAAAAAAATTGAGGTCAAGACATAGGAGAACAAAGAAACCCCAGAGAAGGCAGTCCCATATTTAGGACCACTTTATTCCTAAGGACAAGGACATCTTGTGGTTCTAGAAGAGGCAGCTGAAAGGTTGAAAAGCTGAGTAGAATTTCCAAAAGACTTATGAAACGGGGAGGATGAAAACTGGAGTTCAAAGAATGCCAAGGATATGTCACCCTGATACAATCACTTAGCCTTTTGGTTGGCACATTTACCTTAGGAGTATAGATAATACCAGAAATAGACCTGCCCTTGAAGGAACTGAAGCCTCACTTTGAATGATCTCAATCTCTGACAGGACTGAGATCATTCAGTCATACCCCTCGCTGCCCGAAGATAACATCATCCTGATCTTCAACCATCTTCTCAATTATCAGATGCAATGTCCGGCACATAGTTAAAACTACCCAGACATATCGAGGAGACAAGAAAATACGATTACAAACTAAGAGGAACAATAGACAACAGGAGCAAAACGGGGGTAAAGATAATGAAGTTTTCAGGCAGAAATTTAAAAATAATTGTACTTAATATGTATGAAGAAATAAAAGATAAGATTAAGAGTTTTGTCAAACAAAGGGAAGCTAAAGAAAAGGAAACATATAAAGAAGCCATTTGTAAACATCTGTTGAAAGGAAAAGGTCGAGTAGATGAACTCTACTAAGTGATGGTCAACTAGTAGACTCTAACCCATGTGCCTGGCCAAGAAAGCATCTCGGGCAGTGTAGTATCCTGATGAAGAGCATGGACCCTGGAGCCAGGCTGCCTGAGTATGTACACTGGAACAAGCTCCTTAAACTCTCTCAAGTCCTCATCCTTGAGATGGTACACCTGCTTCATAGGATTCTTAAGAGAACCAAGCATTAGTATTTGTAAGTTCTTAGAACTATGCCTGGCTCTCTGTCCTATTGTACATAAGTGGTACATTACAAGTATTTGTTAAATAAATAGAAAGAAGTGAATACAGTTTAGCGGGGGGGGGGGGGGTAGATAACATTTTTCTGCCAATAATGTTTATAAAATTTTTCTTAAATAATATAAGGCAGAATAAAAAACTTAAGATTACATGATAAATCTATTCTTTATAGAATTACTTGATGTACTAGCACTCAAAATATTTAAAAAATAACCTTTAAAAATTATCTTCACTTTTTTTATTTAATTCCATTTAGATAGTGAGATGTTCAGAGGGGAAAATGTCCTAGTTGGGAACTCTCTATATCTTATGAGGAATTAATAGTTAAATGTCACATTTGCTCTCAAAAAATACATGAGGAAAAAAGCTCTTAAAAACACCACCATGAGAAATCATCATGATCCAGCCTTAAGAGAGAATTCCTCATATCCCTCTTACCTGCTTTATTCTTCTCTATAGCACTTAACACTATTTATACGTTATATGTTTAATTCATAGTTTTGTTTATTGCCTGTCTCTCCAAGTCTCAGAATATAAACTCCATGAAGAGAGAAACTTTTGTCCCTCTGCATCCCCACCTCCTGAAATGGCGGCTGATACACAGAGCAGGTGTTTAATACATGTTTAATGAAAGAATAAATAACAAATAGAAAGGAAAGGAGGAAGTATTAGAGAAACAAGAGAATCTCAATGCACAGTGTGTACTCACTATTCAAAATTCAAATCAAAGTCAATTCCTTATAGTTTTAGTCTATGGAGACCAAAAAAACAAAAGATTGTCAAAATAATTGCTACAGACTGGTAAACATTTCCCATGGTAGCAGATCCAGGATTTTGAGATTTGCTGACTGGCGAATCCCAAGTTCCTTATACTGTGCATTACACATTATTCTGATTGAAGCAAGCATCCCGCTAGGATTACAGACCTGCAACAGGGGCCACAGGGACAGTCCACTAGCTGATGGTGCTGATAAATTATTTCCTTCCCATATTGTCAAACCTCCAAAATTTGACTTTACAATGGTTGATAAGGTTTCAGATTTAATTTGTCTCCCAAAACTTCTTTCTATTCCATTAATATGTAACTTCAGTCAATTGGTGATTTTAACATTTGGCTTTTGGCCAAAATGTGTATCTACTGCACTTTCTCCAAACAGCTAAATCAATAGTACTTACTGTAAACTGTCCTGAGTCAAGTTCGTAAAATTCCTTTTAGACTATTATATGCTATCAGAGCTTCAGATTTATTGTTGAAAATGTTCCCACATTCCACATCAGAGATGGTTTTAAAATAGAGATAATAAGACATATAAAGCGCCTAAGCACATTGTATGGTCTTGATAAGCATTCATTTTATTCTCTTTAATAGTTAGGAACCATATGACTCTGTTCGCCTCACAAAATCTTAAGTTATTATCATTTTATTAGATATAATTTTTAATAG